ACGGAGACTAACAAGACCCATGAATCGATAGCTCTTGAAACTCTCTACAAACTAAGCTAGTCAGAATATCTTGACTGGCTGAGACAGTCACCACATATGTAAAAGAAACGTTCAAGTATCGAAAACACCAGTAGAGCACCCTTTAGTCATATTTTCTGGGTGTTTAGGTATACTGTGTTTGATGGATTTTTGATATTTTAGAAAAACTTTTGAATTTCATTATATGTCTTCTGAGTTATGAGTTATGGCTTATTACTCTTCGCTTAACGGTGATGTATAGCTAACAAATATTTCCAGATACTTCTTTATCAGACGTTTCATCGTCTTTTAGCAGGTATTTCTGTCAGTCGACTTCTTAAGTAAGTTTTTTCTAATCAGTTAAGTTGTGTTGTTTCGAAGAACAAAATTTTTTACCAAAGATATTTATGTTTTTTTAAAGAACTTTGTAACAACAAATGTGAAAGGATCAAAGAGCTTTATCTTTGGTTACGCCGTTGTTAGGAATGATTTGAAACTTTATCACGTAAAAACATAGAGTACTTCAAAGTACTTGACAACAATGATGCTCTTTGCTTTCTTTGAATATAACCGGCGATGCTAAACGCACTTTCGCTTGCAACGGAGGTCGCTGGGATAACATTATAACGACAAACTAACGATGCCAAACATTTTAAATCATGTTTGTTTTCTGACCAAAATGTTTCAAATTTAAAATCCGGCTTAACTCTTGACACGTAATTCGCCAGTTCTTCTCGAACGAACAGTATCTTTTTGTCTGTATCCATAACCGCGGTTGAGTCTATTGAGAGTCCACGTATGAATAAAAATATATCTATCTGCGAATTTTGTTTTTTCGTAGTTGTTTGAGACTGTACACTCGGCGGAGACGGCTGTGAAGTTTCTGATGTGCACACAGCTTTTTCTCGTTGAATATCAGCAAAACTCAGTTTTTCGGCTTCTCGTTTCTCATCGTCTTTCAGATATTTGTACGTGAAAGGGTGAAAATAGGAAGCAACCTAAAGCAAAAACTAATAACGTGTCTATAACATACTGAAAAGAAACGAAAGCAAAGAGAAAATACTAACCAGAGCCAACTCCTGCTGCTTAGTTGGTAATACAGTTTCAAAATAATACGTAAATTTTGTACATAGACACCTTTTGAGTACCGCATCTAATTCGGTGGTATTCAAATCTGTTTATAAAAAATGCTTTAACGAATTTAATACAAATCGTCCGAGGGCCATTGTTGGATAATTTCGCCATAGCATTTCGGTTGCGTATACAAATGGTTCTAATACGCGTTTTAAACTATTCAAATAATCCCACTTCTCATGAGAAAAATCAAATGTTTTTAGCTTGTTGCGCTGGTCTTTCTGTAGACCAGTAATAAGATGTGGCGACGTTATGATATTGTTAATTATCTCGCGATAATCAATAAAACGTTTAACCATGGTGTAGGTGCTGTTCCATCGAACAATAAAATCGAGTACTAATTCGGGACTTTTCATCTTGAGCAACGGCGGAATCATTCGCCATTTGGTGAATACGTTTAAGTTCATAGTGAAGTTGATTTTTTGCTTGTGTACGAACATGTGCTTGAATAATGCTCGATCGCCGAATGGAAGTGATCATTGCTCGTACGTCTTGCAACAAACTATTTATTTTCATTAGCAACTCAAATTCTTTACAGCGTTCTAAATCATCGATTTCGGAAGACTGTTCATCATCGTCAGCTTGGCTTTCCTCGATCAAATCTTCTTCTTTCGATGACGTTTCATCTTTGTTCTTCAACGAGTCGTCATCAAAATCGTACTCTGTTGAACAATCATTTCCACCATCAGCCAGATTTTCATCAATCTCATAATCTCCGTCGGCATACGCTATTCTTGTTGTCGCATTTCCTTTCCTAGAAAAAAAATAAACAATATTAAAATGAGAGGAAAGTAGTAATTGAAAGAGAAAAACTTCTGCTTTTTCTATCGCGAAAGCAAATACTTCTTTTTTTCTTCTTTTTATCTTCTTAGTTGCACTTCTCAAAAATTCTACTTTGCTTTTTCTCTGTTGGTTTCCTCCAAAGACATAAACCAGTCGTAACGATCAGGTTTAAATTATGAGCTAAACAAACAATTCTTGTTCCGAATTCGGCTGTGCTTCCTGTAGCTGACTTGATATCACTTCCACTGTCCGTTGTAATTGACCGAATTTTCGATTGAATTTTTAAGTTTTTAATCTCATAAAAAATGTGTTTTTTCAAACGTTTAGCGACTTTTCGACCACGTAATCGACGGAAACCAATAACAGTTGACATATAACCAAAACTGTCATTAAAGTAATGGGCAGTGAGACATATGAAATGGAATCTCGAACAACTACTCCAAATATCCGTTGTCAACGAGATGTCGAGGATCGTGGATAGAGTGTCTCGAAGTCGGTCACGTTTTTCATGATATAGTGTTGATAAACGCCGCCGAACTGTATGACGGAGTGGTCCCTTATAACCGGGTACGGCAACGTCGAGAAAATCCCGCATACCGGGCCGTCCGAAGTCTCCAAATCGACGGCCATCTTCAATAATACACGAAACAGCGGCTTCATTCAGTTCTTTTTCCGATCTGGCGGAATTATGGATGTTTTCTTTGAATGTCCACTACGTTGAGACAGATAAAGATAGTGTGAATAATGTTGACTGTCAATGTGTTTTCTCAAATTAGCTTCAGAACGTGCTGCAGCCTGATACAGCTAGAAAATGAGAAAATGTGGCAGTGTGAAAGGTGGAGACAGTAAAATAAAAAGCAAATTTCAGCTCCAGAATTGGGCTTCAATCAATATTCATAGACTTTTCAGCTGCAGAATAGATAGTAAAACAGAGTAAGTCTGTGTGAGTATAGCATAATCCATTTCTTTCAAAAAGTTATTAAGAAAGCAAAATATGCGCACTTCAGAAGAATAGTTTATTCCTGTAATCAATGTTCTATTCCTTTAGCTAAGGTGGACTGAATGCTCCTCTAAACCTGAGTTCTGAAAAGCTGGAATTATGTAGTGTGTCCGCTTACTTTGAAACACATTTTGCATTTGTATCCACGAGTTGACAATTGATCAAAAAAATCCAGGCACTCTTGCCGTAATTTGAGGATTTCGTTTTCGTATGTGTAGTAGCTTGTTCGTTATCTGACACATCAGTGACATTGGGACTAATCATCATTTCGTTAGTTTTCGTCCGCTTGCTACGCATTCTGTATGTTCAGTAACATTTTCATCATCTGTACCGTTCACAGCCGATGCCTTCTTTAGGCGACTTAATCGTTTGTTACTGCTTCTTACTTGACTTACTCCACCTCTCACTTCACTTATTTCTTGAGATTTTGATAGTAACCCAATTCTAGCACTTATACGGATCAACGATGAAGATGTTTGTTTAGTTTTAAGAGATGCCAATGAATTCCGTGGTCGACGAGACGACGAAGATAACGGTGTGTAAATCGGTTGACTGTCAATCTCATTAGCCTCCGTAGACACAGACATATTTCAAGATTACAAAATAAATATTAGAACACAATCTGATACGTACAGCAATAGTATAAAAGTAACTTTTCTCGGCTACTTTTTTATTTCTTTTCACAGTGAAAGAAGAAACAAAAGCAATGATTACACGTCTGTCACATTGTACGTCCTCGTTCTATGTTTTAAATAAAAGGGAGAAAAATAGAAAACGGATACGGACGAAGAAGAAAATCCTAGTTGTCGTATAATATAGAAGAATATAGTGCCTTTCACAACTATGACTGAAAAGTAATGATTCACTTTCTGCCTACAGCAGAGAGAGAAAACAGCAGAGAAAGAAAACGTGGATGCACAATCTCAATTGGACCCTAATCATTATTTATCTACTCCGGCTCGATTATAACTAAACTAACATATGTGCTTCTTCAACTGATTTCTTCAACTGAGAGAATTTGAAGGGCTATCGAACAGTATACGATACAGAAGGATATAATGTTTGGTTTATGTGAAAAATATGACTAAAGGGGTGCTCTGCTGATGTTTTCGATACTTGAACGTTTCTTTTACATATGTGGTGACTGTCTCAGCCAGTCAAGATATTCTGACTAGCTTAGTTTGTAGAGAGTTTCAAGAGCTATCGATTCATGGGTCTTGTTAGTCTCCGT